ATTATTATTATTATTATTATTATTATTATTATTATTATTATTATTATTATTATTATTATTATTAATTATATTACATTTATTTGTGTTGTTCCCCGAGATAAAAATAAAAGCAAAAGAACCATCCTTCCATACCGATCTTAAAGATCAACATGGCCTTGGTGGCGGCCGCAGACATCGACGTCATCTGCGGTGTCAAACTGCGTCCGCGACCGCATATTTACTCTTCCGCGCCCGCTTGCACGGGACGGTCTTCTTCCACGCAATCCCGTTCGGCTCCCGAGTCCCGTCGCCCCTCTCCTCGCGGCACCTCTCGCCGGATCGCCCTACCCGGCGGAGCCAGCCCCGCAGCCTCCGGATCGGCCGCGATTCGATTCGCGCGCGCCTCGTCCTTCGTCTTCGTCTTCTTCAGCTGTTGCCGCCGCCATGACCGGGCTGGCCCAGACGGAGTTGTGCTCTCCCGGGTCCGCCGCTACGACCAAGACGACGAAGAGCGTCCAGTTGTGGCGGACGCTGGTGAGTTGGGTAGCGGTCTTGTTTCATGTCCTGCTCCAGATCCCACGGAGGACCCCCTCGTGGGCGCAGCTCGTCTCCTTTGTCGGCCTCCGCCAAAACCTCCTTTTCTCCCCTTCCTCCGCCTCTCCGGACTACAAGCCTCTAGCCGTTGATCCCCCCACCGACGCCCCGCCGCCTAATCAGTTCGCTGGGCCGGAGCCCCTGAAGAAGCTCACGGTATGTCTCTCTTCCCCATTTGGGAACTGGGCTATGAACGATTCGTTTAAAGATTGGTTCTTTCTATTTTTTTTAGATCCCTGTCGATTTAAATTTGTTCTGAGATTGCATAGAATATAAGGTTGCGTTCTTCCTGTTTGGCCTGTCCTTGCTTCGGCATCCCTTGGTGGTTTGGACAAACCGAGGTCCTGACTTCCTCATTTAGATACAACTTACTGCCCAGAAGCTACAGTTGATTGACGGTGGTGGATCGATGTGCTTAATGATTTCCATGTTTATGTATTGTATACTTGTCTTGCAAAGCATATGAATTTGTTGTTGTATTGTATGCTTGTCTTGCAAAGCAGATAATCTTGCATAGAAATAAATAGTTGAATGAGAACTTGAAAGCAAAGAAGTGCAGCATACTACTTGATGAGGAATTTCCTGGATAGAGTTATAAACATGACTGCTATCAACATGTGGCGTAATTAACTCTAGACATAATACCTAACTCCTGTAAGACCTGATATGTTTGATGTCTGCATTGGTACTTCACGTTGTCCCTGCTTTCAGTTTGTGAATTGCTGATTCGCAACCTGCATGAGGATTTTCCATTCATCATTTTTTATGCACTTGGCTTCCGGACAGCAGAGTTTTTACTTCTCCATTCATGGAAATTGATTATATTTGTACACTGATTTTTTTTTTCCTTTCTTGTAGAAGGAACATTGAGGTAAGTAATGCAGATCAATTACAACAAATCTTATTCTTCCTGTTCATTGTTATTCTTGGACTATTACCACACCTCCAAAATTCAAGTCCATGAATTGATTCACATACATTGATACATGTGGTTGGCAATACTAAAGTAAATTCTCTAAATAGGTTTGTGATGTAGTATAGCATATTTGTAATCATGAGTAAGGTATGACCATTCTGGTGTGTAACTCATGGCATATCTCAACATAAGGTTGAGCCAACCTTCAACCAGATTCAAATTCTGATCAACAAGGTTGAGCGACAGATTCTCATTCCGTGGACTATTTCTTTGCTAGGATTCTGCATCAACTTTAAAATGTCCACAGGATCTTTCTTGTGTAACTGTTTATATGTGCTTTCTTGTTATTTTATTACATAACGATCTTATGACTGTATGTTTAGAACTGCTTTAGAAAATAATTTGAACTTGTAAGTTAAGCACCACAGATCTGTTTTCTTCCTGTGTTTCTTCTTTCTTTCATTTTTTGTCGCTGCAGAAATGGCAAAACTTGTACATGTAGAAAATGTGGTGGGAACATATCTACATACGTCTTCTTTGAAAATACTTTTAACAAAGGAATAAGTGTGGTGCTTCATCTTTGATCCAAAATAGATTAGTGCTTATACAACAAGAAAGTTGTCTGATTTGATTCTAACTTCACTAGTGCACATTAAAATCACTGTTGGAATATTCCAAATCTCCATTAAACTTCGTATGTTGACTTTTTTAATGGGATTTTTGATAAACAATATGTGATGAACTTGTCAATATGGACCAAAATTGGATTTTTGTTGGTGGGCACAAGAGTCTATGTAAGACTGACTAGTAGATGTCTTGGTTTAGTTTCTCAATAATATGCCCACAAAAATGCCAATGACTACCATAATCTTTATTTTTATACTTAAGTAATAGTCATTGCTTAAGGAGAATTTGTTTGTTGTTTTATTGTGACTCTCTCATTTAAGGCCAGGTTCGCAAAAATTTGCAGATTGTTCTCGACTTGGATGAAACTTTAGTTTGTGCATATGAGACATCTAGCCTTCCGTCTACAGTGCATACCCAAGCAATTGAAGCTGGTCTAAAGTGCTTTGACCTTGAATGTATATCTTCAGAAAAGGTTGGTCACTTATGATTAGGTAATTTTGCCTGATCTTAAGCTGCAGGAGTATTTATCCTGAGCTACACTTTTGAAGGATGCTGATGGAAGGCAAAAGGTGAACCATGTCACAGTTTTTGAGCGCCCTGGTTTGCAGGAGTTTCTAAAACACAGCAGTGAATTTGCAGATCTTGTTCTTTTCACTGCTGGTCTTGAAGGTTGTAGTTATTTACCTATAATATACTTTTTGGTACTAGCTCTTATTTATATACTGCTTATGCTTTTGTGAAAAATCCTTGTGTTTTTTTTCCCTTCTATATCAGGTTATGCAAGTCCAGTTATTGATAGAATAGATGTTGACAATAAATTAACTCATCGCCTATATCGGCCTGCAACTGTGATCACGTAAGTGAAAATCATATTTATTAAGACTTCAGTCAACTTTTGTTTTTATTTTTTTTCAATGAACCAGAAGAATAATCACTGGAAATTCTTTCTGCCTTCAATATCTCAAATTTTTTGAACATTCAAGTTGCATTCCATGTAGTTCTGTTAAATTCTGTAGTGTCAAGTACGCATTAGTCAACTTTGAATCAATTTTAAGATTTTCTGAAATATAATTTTGTATGGCAGCAACAATTATTGTACTTTATCCTGATAGGCAATTTAATCTTTTTATTTTTGTAATATCCCATGATAATATGTTTTGCCAAAGTCTCCTTGTTGTTGAGGTTTTTGACTTGGTACAAAGAAGTAATGGCTCTATCTAACCCTAAACTTTGAACCAGTGTTCAATTTTGTCTGTAGAAACTGTTTAGCATTCATGTACTTGTGAGCACCATTAGTTCTTTGGCCATTAAATTAGATCATGTACATATTTTGTCAGCAGTCTTAATGACCTAACGACCACTGATGCCAAACTGACTTTGAGGTTCTGTTATTAACTCAAAAAAAGGTTACAGGGTTAAGTTGACATTGGAATATATTACAGAGACTACTTTTACCATTATGGTAATTCTGAAAGGCTAACTAATCTAAAAGCAAGCAATTTCTGAAGATTATGTTGAAAGTTCTATTGTAACAAATATTATGAGCCTTTAAACTTCAATGCTGCTTCATACTTTCTTTTTTGACTACTGCTTGTTTTGTTAGCATTTGCAGATGATGAAAATCAATGTGGTTAGTCAAATTACATGTGTCATTTGCTGTTTCAAATCTTTTTAAATCAAGCAAAATGATATAATACAAAAAGAAGATATTGTGCTTTATTTGGAAATTGTAGCTGTTTGCAGTGATTAAACCCCATAACCAAAATGAAAATTTCTGATTTCTTGCAAAATAAACTAAATCCTGTTTTTGATCGCTTGACTTTTGTCATTAAATTATTCTACTGTTGATTTGAAACTACTCAACTTTTTTATAAAATGCTTTTATCTTCCTACCGCTTGACATTTCAAAAAGTTGCCTATTGGTTGCAATGCTTATTTTGTGTACATACATTACACTAGTACATGTGTATAAAACCATCTACAAATTTAATGTTGCCAGACCTTTGATGGTAAACTGTACCTTATAAAGAATTGAGGTTCATAAAATATATGTGCATTCTGTGGATCAGGGAACACCGGGAACATGTCAAAGATCTTTCTTGTGTATCGAAAGATCTCTCCCGCATAGTCATTGTTGACAACAATCCATTCAGTTTCTTGCTGCAACCATTAAATGGAATACCTTGCGTTCCATTTTCCGCTTCACAGCCATGCGATGACCAGGTAACAAGATATATCATGCTTTTTTTTTTGGCTAATTACATACTATTACAACTGGTAGTTATTTTCTGAGCGTTGGCTGTAGTATTTTTTTTTTGTTTCCAGCTTATGGGAGTCATTCTTCCTCTTTTAAAGCACCTTTCTCTCCAGAAGGATGTAAGGACTGTACTATATGATAAATTCCACATGCCGGAGTGGTTTAAACAGCAAGGAATTCCCACCATAAGCTCAACTTCTTGAGATGGTTTTACCAAGCTCTTGTCATTAGAATGCTATAAATCTGCCCAAACATGGCTTCAACTTTGTATGATCTACCCAATTTTTCTGGAACGACTCTTTCAGGTTACCTGCTTGCCTGTTGATACGATGGAAAGGATCCGCTGAGCATAAAAAATGTTGTACCTAATGAACGGACAAATTTTGAGGTTTAACCAAGCATCATCTCTCTTTCCACACAAAACCATCCTGCTTGCCTTAGTTTATTGTAATAAATCTTTCAGCGTTGTATGCTTAGAAATATTAGGTGCGAGTGTTGCTGTAATTAATATTATATTATGGATTCATGGCATTGATTGATTGAAAATGTACAGAAACTGAAATAAAATGGAATGGTTTGCATCAAGTACGGTTGGTATGATTATTATAGTTATTCTGAGTTTCTGGTTTTCTGAATGAAATCAACTTATGTGGTGGGAATTGGTGATGCTTGCAGTCCAAAGAACTCCATGAAGATATGGAAGTCACAGCCAAAGGCATATATTGTAGTGCTCTGTTCATTGGGCATGCTCGACTCATGAGACTTCCATTCATCTTTCATTCTTCGTTTCCCATCTAATCTATTGAGGCTAATGTTAAAAGATTTGGGCGGTGTCAGCTAACTTTGTTGATAATGATGTTGATTGCTGTATTCGAATTTTGTTTTCATCGTTTATCTTTTATAAAAAACGAGTTAATCATCAGTCTAAATTTTAGAGACAACCCAACTCAGTTCCGAACCGCAAACCTAAGAAATATGCTCAATGGAATCGATTTATGATATGATAATCTTCGGATGGATTTGTTCGGTCAATCTATTTTGTCTCTTTTTTTTTTTCTTTTTTTTTTGTTCTTCTTCTTCTTTATCTGACATCCAACGAATTTTTGCCCCTATGACTCTTTGCTCTATGAGCTGCAAGTATATATTATTGGGAGGTGACACCAAATCCTTCCATGTGGCTATCTATCACATTAATTGGAAGGACGCGTAGCAATGATGGTTGGAATAAATAACCCACCTTCATATGGCTAAGAAGACATCTTTAAGCCGACTGTGGTCGGCGCCTTTTGAAGTTCCACAGCTACTGATTTGATTGCAGAAGATGTTGAAGGATGAGGAGACCCACCAAAGTTTGCCACAAGAACATAAAGAATTGGATCCCCAACCCACATTGCTTTCACTCTAATCATCATGTTGTTATCCATGGCCCGCTGTGCTTTGAGAGCAGATGAGAAAGCTCGCTGTGGTTTATTATAGAAGCCGCTGGCCAAAAGTAGCATCAGCTAATAGAGGAGGGAGCTTTACCAACCTACTCCATGAGGGCATATTTGATATGTTCGACAAAGCTCAGGATTCGTGGTTTGAAGAAGGACCTTGTGTTCCCACTTTGCCCAACTATTCTTTCTTCTCTTCCATTGTTTTACATCCAATACCTCAAATCTTCTTAACTACTACATCCTATCACGGTTCAATCTAAACCGAAATTGAATCGATCAAAAATCAAAATCGAATGGGAATAACAATTCATGTAATATGCAATCGGAATCGAAAAAAAAAAAAAACTAAGTACTCTACCAATTATGAATCTACTCTTTCTAGCCTCTTAATAAAGGTTAATTCGACAGAATCGAAACTGCGAGTTAGGCCAAACCTAGTAATTACGCGTATCATTCCAAGTTAATCGTTTGAGTTGAAGAGCTTTAAATTCATGTCCAACATAGAGATGATCTAATTCTGCTTCATTAACAAATAGCTTGCGATATGAACTTAGCATGGCTCAAGATATGACTCCCCCTCAGGGAAGCAGCTTTCTACCCACACTGATACCTTCATATTTGTCAAAGACAACAAAACCCTGAATCCTATTCCACTTCACTTTGGTATCAACCTCAGGATGATGAATTTTCCATATCAACTGCTATCAAAATCAATGCAGTCAAAAGCATTTAAGAGCCCAGAAATCCAATATGCTTAAGAACTTGTGAGACAATGGCAATTTCCTGTGTCTCCATCACAAGTCTGAGAATGACAAGTCTAACATATAACAGCAAGTATACTTGTATGATTTCACAGAATCACCTTGCTGTACTAATTAGACCTGGTCTTCATCTCCCTTCTGATGATGGCTTCAACATATAAATCACATCAATTGACCAGAAAATTCAGCAAAACAAAGCTGCTGGATCAAGAGCCATAAGCACAGCATCATTTAAAGTCAACCAGAAAGCACCACACAACGCATGGTCAAGCTTGGAACACCTACAGTCCAGATGAACTTTTTTGGCATCTGGCATAAGAGAATTAGTCCTCTTGAAGGAGATGTGCTCACAAGCATTCATAAGAAAGGTTGCATTGTAGAGGTTGACAAAGCCAACATTTCAACATTTCTTCCCACCCAACTTAGCTCCCTTCCGCAGCCACAACAGAGTATAAACATGGAACTCATCACACAGTTCTTGAAATTCTCTGAACAATTTTTGCGTTTCAACTTTCAAGGTTAATCTGAATTGCTCTGCACAGTAAACCAACCAAATGCTTCACATATCTCAATTCCAACTTCAGATGTCGAAGAATTTATGTAACAAACATCAGCAGGATTATCTCAATCTGCTGAGCCACTGGAGATGCTTCCATGGCTTCCCTCGCAGAGAGCAAGGGCGCTCTCGAGGTTGGCAACAATGTCGGTCATATTTGGCCGATTCCTGCCCTCAAGATTAACGCAGTGCACAGCAGTGTAGGCAACGAGCTCCACCGCCTCAGCTTCATGCGGTCCTGGCTGCCCCACTCTTGCGTCGAGCACCTTGCTGGCCTCCCCTGCCACAATGCAGGGCACAGCATAGTCAACGACACTGGTCGGGTTCCCACCCTCCTCGTCCTTGAAGATGGCTCTTCTCCCAGTGAGCACCTCAAGCATCACCACTCCCAGGCCGTAAACATCGCTCTTGACGGTCAAGTGGTGCAATCCGTAGTACTCGGGGTCCATATACCCAACTGTGCCTGCCGCCTTCATCGACAAATGCCCGTCGCCGGATTCTGGTCCCATGAGCGACAGCCCGAAGTCTGACACCCGGGCGATCCAGTTGCCATCGAGCAGTATGTTGGAGGACTTGATGTCGCGGTGGATGATCGGAGGCACGGCATAGCTGTGGAGATATTCGATCCCTCTCGCCGCATCCAGCAGCACCTTGATCCTCATCTTCCAAGAATTCAACACACTGGTCTGATCGCCATTCTTTGGGTGGAGATGGTCATACAGAGCTCCATTCTTCATGTACTCGTAGACCAAGAGCCTCTCCTCCCTCTCCTCGCAGTAGCCGACCAAGCCCACCAAGTGTTTGTGGTGGAGCCGAGAGAGGAACGCGAGTTCCGACTGGAAAGCGCTCTCCTTTTCCTGGAACTTCTTCGTCCTCGGCCCTGATTCACTTCTCTTGATCGCCACCTCCCGTCCGTCGGGCAGTTTCCCCTTGTACACTGTCCCAAAGCTGCCGGCCCCAATTTTGGTCTCCAAGGAGAAGTTTTTGGTGGCGGCGGCGAGCTCCGAGAAGCTGAACTCCTCCGCCCGGTCCTTGAACGAAGACGGGCCACTCCTCTGCCGCCTCATGACCCGTGAGCCCTGGCGCCAGAAAGTTCGGGACCGCGACCCGGAAGGAGACGTGGTTGGGCTCGGGACGATCGATCCGGCACCGGTTGCGGACGAATGCCCCGCATGGGATGCTCCATTTCCAGCAGCGGTAATAGTCGGCTGAACTGAATTGTGGATCTTCTTGTGCCTACAAACCCCAAACCATGCGCAGTAGACGATGGAGCAGACACCGGCAAATGCGCCGACTGACCCAACGATTGCGAATGCCAACCATCCCTTGTTAGTCCTCTTCGACGAAACGGTAGACGGCGGCGGCGATGGTGATGGCGGAGGTGGGCTTGTTCGCTCGAGTCGATCGTCACATCGCCTGCATATGACTCCAGAACCCGAACATAGCGTCTCCGAGTCGGGGAAAGGTCCGCAATCGCAAGAGCTTTCGTTGGAAGTGCAAATTCCAGGAAGCACTCTCGGCAACGGAAGCGCAGGTACTGCCGCGTCGCTCCTGTTCGTCCCCCAGCAAAGCACAGTAAAGTTGACCACCGTTAGGCCGCAGGTGAGATTGCCGCCGGCGACGATGAACACGAAGGCGGTGGTGTTCGCCGGCGTGTATTCGCCGCCGGCGCCCCCGCCCCAGCAGACAACCGTGCCGTTGTATCGCCTGACGGCGCAGGTGTGGCTTGAACCCAGCGCGAGGCTGCCGAACTCGAACGCTGAGTCCGAGGGCGGGGTCGATTGGCCTGCTTCGTTGTTGCCGCCGCAGATAAGCCGGCCGGCGGTGCTGATGCCGCAGGCGTGGGAGTCTCCCGCAACGATGGTCGACATGTTGGAGTTGACGAAGGCGACCGAGATCTCACCGCTGCGCGGCCCCCAGCAGCTGACGGAACCATTAGTGCTGATGGCGCAGGTAAAGCCCCGACCGGAGGTGAGGGAACGGTAGGAGCCGGTCAATTTGTCAGGGAAGGCGCTGTCAGCGCGCCACCAATGAACGAACGTCCGGTTGCGGTCGACGCCGGCGATTTGGACATCGCCGACAGCGAGCTCCTCGATGGCGGTGGAGTCGTTGTAGACGCGCTTCTGGGTGAGTGTGGCCGCGTCCCAGCAGAAGAAAGCGGTGCCGTCGGCCCTCAGGCCGCAGAGGGAGCCGTGGCCACCAGAGACGGAGGCAAAGGAGACGTTGGGGAAAAGGGGGAAGGACAGAGCACCTGTGGCGTCGGCGCGGGCGCACTGGATGCTACGAGGGGAGACGCCGGCGAGGACGCCGCAGACGATAGAAGGGGAGCCGTGGGCGATGGCGAGGGTGGAGGTGGAGCCGGTGCCGTGAGCAGGTAGGAGGAAGACAGACAGGGTCGCGGCCACCGCCAACGCGACGGCGAGGGAAGGCCTCATCAGGTGGCGATGGTCGGCTGGGGAGTTCCACGTTTAACCCACATAGGGAAGCAAAGCGAAGAGAGGGAAGAAAGCAAAAGACTAAGAGAAACTGCCTTAAGGTGGTCTGGTCTCCATTATAGTGGCCGTGGGTTTAGAGAGAGAGAGAGAGGGCGAAGAAGAAAGAATACTAATTGAAAACGATTATATATATATATAAATAATTTGGGACATTTCCAACGAGGAAAACGATTACATATATATATATATATATATATATATATATATATATATATATATATATATATATATATATATATATATATATATGAAGGAAGAAGGAGAAAAAAAAGTATCAAGTTCATTTACGTAGTAAGAAATATTAAAAGTTTTTAAAATAAGATTATAAATAATAAAG